TACATATGTCATTATCAGTTCTATTTGACATTCTCAAAGGGTAGCTTGTGAATTCCTGGGGGTATTCCAGACTCTTTCACAGCATCTGCAAAGTCAAACTATTTTCATAATAATACTAAGATGTAATTTGCCTTTTTCACTACGTTGACATATGCCGTGTTCAGGGAAAGACACTGACGGGTAAAACTATTGTTGCCTTAGCATGATTCAAGGCCATGGCACCAAACCGAACCAGCAGTCATTGTGTTCTTAACCACCTGTGTTAATAGTAAAAGAAAAAAAAATGTCAGTTTCACTTAATAATGTCCTTGAAGAAGCATTAAAATTACTAATTTTATCAAATTCCATCCCTTCAGGACATTTAATATTCTGTGTAATAAAATTGGAAATACACATAAATCACCTTTGCGTTTCAAGGTACAGTGACTGTCTTGAGGAAAGTATTCATGTGATTGAGCTGTAAGCTACACTAGCTGTCTTTTGCACGAAATACCAATTTTACATGAAAGAACAACCGATAGACAAACCATGGCTAATCAAACTTGGGCATCTGGCAGGCATTTTCTCAAATATGAATCAAGTGAACCTGTCCCTCCAAGGAAAACTATTGATAATATTTGTTGCAATGAGCATAAAGAGTCATTGAGTGGTTTCAACTAACCTTTAAGAAGCTTGTGCTTGTCAAGTTCCGGTGTAGTATCAAAGAAGAATATCTACAATAATCTGAAAGGGTCATAAAACACTCCTTCCTTTTCTAACTCTATCTTTGTGAGGCAGAACTTTGTTCATAAACCTCCACTAAAACAACATATTGCAACAGATTGAATACTTGAGCAAATAAAAAATCCAACCCTCTTCCACTTAGACATCATAGATTTATAAGAATATAAAATAATGTCACCTTTATCACTAATTTTTTGTTTTCTAAAATATATTTTTCATAAAATACATTAATGTTAACATGTATCTGGTTCTTCATGGTTATTTTTAAATGACTCAATGTAGATTTTAAAACTTTTTCCTGAGTTTTAATTTCTAATACAGTAAATACTGATAGGTATAACCCCAATAATCAAAAGTTCTTTGGTGTCCCAATAATTTTCAAGAGTGTGAAGGAGTCTTGAGATCAAAGAGTTTGAGAACAACAGCCTTGAGAGTGCTGTCTTTCAACATCTTATACACTTGTTTTTCTTTCTGTCCCTCCAGCAGTGTGTCTCTCGTGCCCATTATAATAGAGAGGACATTTACATAAAGGTTGGCACTAGTAAAATGTTATAATATCTGCACAATGTTTAGAAAGAAAATAGTTTAAAAAAAAGGCATTGCCAAAATAGGTCTAAAAATAGGTCTTTCTCTATAAGTCATTTCTATTAACCATGCCTTGCTATAGATGTTTATAACAAAACATTAAAGACTGGGTAGAAAGGAGAAAACAAATTACTCTGCAGAGAACCCAGCCACTCTGCTAAAATACTGTCAGTTATTTATCTACTGTCAGCAGAGGTTGCAGACTATAATCCTTGACAAGCTCAGATTCAGAAAGAATGAAGAGAGGGGCAAGCATCGCATTTAAGGACCTGTTCTCATGCACAGACATCTTAACACAGATTTAAAGCCAGAATGTATCTTCCAGAAAATGTCACTTCTGATTTTGATACATATCCTAGCAAGTAGGCTCTACATTTGGTTGACTTAGTACGAGATATGTTAGAGGCTAACGCTATATTTTAGACCATTCACGATCCCCGCGTGGAACTAACACAATGAGGTCAGCATCACTTCATTTTGAGCGCTGGCTACTGCAACTGCATGATTTCATGGGCATATTTTTTATGATAAGAAGGAGGGTTTTATTTTTGCTTTGTTAGGCAAGGTAATGACAGGCTCTCAGAATCCTGTGGCCCTCTCCAGTGTCCATTTCTGCTTTATGTTAAATACTTTCTCTCTGGAAAACATATGTGGCCCAGGCAAAAATGCAACAGACAGAAGAGCTTCCTGCAGGTAATTCTAAAGAAAACCCACCTTTAAGCAGGTAGTTTAAATAGCTCATAATATGGACAGGAACATGTGCAGAGCAAGGTTATGGGGGAGCCTCAAACTCAGAAGGCTGAATAACAAATATGCCCTGGTCATTCCTAGTAGAAACCACGGTTTTCTTTATAACGCAGCTCTTATTGACTGGTCAATTATATGATTTCTATCCACGCGACCAGAGGTCTAAATAAATGTGTGCTTGTAACTGGGGATGTTTGAGGAACGCCGAACCAGAATCTTAATTTTCTAATTCATATTCACCAATTAAAAACAAACTGTATTTTTATGAGCAAATTTACATAAATCAGATGATAAAGCATCTACTACTAAAGGGTAGGAGTTCAGCTCACAACATTTGCATATATTCTCCTAAAGAAAATATAGGCGTCTGAGATTTTCATTGAAGAGTCTTGCTGCGCTGGAACTCTAATGGGCTTAGAACAGTAAATTTTGAAGAAACTGATTG